ATGCCCATCAACAAATGATTGGTTTAAGAGGATGTGGTAAGTATCTATGTATGTATACAATGGAATATTACTCAGCCATTAAAAAGAATGAAATAATGCCATTTGCAGCAATGTGGATGGACTTAAAGATTATCATATTAAGTGAAGTAAGTCAGACCAGAAAAGACAAATATATGGTATCACTTACATGTGGATTTTAAAAAAAATACAAATTTTACTTATAAACTAGAAAGAGACTTATATAGAAAACAAACTATGGTTATCAACTGGAAGGAGTGGGTGGGGAGGGATAGATTAGAAGTTTGGAATTAACAGGTACACATTACTATATATAAAATAGATAAACAATAAGGATCTACTGTATAGCACAGGGAACTATATTCAATTTCTTGTAATGAGTTATAATGGAAGAGAATCTGAAAAAATATATATATGTGTATGTAGATATATGTATAACTGAATTCCTTTACTGTACACCTGAAACTAACATTGTAAACTGACTACAGTTCAATAAAAAATAAGAATTTTTAAAGGAAGTTAAGCCCTGTCCCCCCCAAAGAGAAACAGACTCAGACATAGAAAACAAACTTGTGGTTACCAAAGGGGAAAGGGAGGGAAGAAAGGATATATCAGGAATATGGAATTAACAGATACAAGGTAGTATATATAAAATAGATAAGCATCAAGGATTTACTATATAGCACAGGGAACTATAGTCTGTCTTGTAATAACATATAATGGAAAATAATCTGAAATACACACACATATATATATATATATATAAAACTGAATCACTTTGCTGTACATCTGAAACTAGCGTAATACTGCAAATCAACTATGTCTCAATTAAAAAAAAATCTTACTTTCAACTGTCCGATTTTCCTCAACTCTAAAGAATAAGTACCTTTAGATTCTAAAATTGCATGTCAAAATTAGGGAGGGAAGCTTCTCTCATTCATTGGGCAGTCCATGATATAGTTTTCAGAGAATTCAAGGAGAAAGATCAGCAGAGTGACAGAGGGTCCACCTAGTGGGGCCCCCTGGTGATTATCAGAGCATCGATTTCCTGTGTAATTCCCTGTTCCCTGTGCTGTGGGCATGGCCTGAGTGCTGGTGCTACCCAGGGGACTGGCTGTAACGGAACGTCGATGGAACATCACAGCTCTTGGACCCCATGAGGTTGCCATAGATACTGATGTGCAGGGAGCTGGTGAACTCGTTATTTATTTGTATCTTCCTTCTAATTGCTGTGGGGTAGCTGGAGGTTGTGTGGGTGCTACAGCAATGGGGAATCAAGGGGGGTGTGTTCCAGGGTGCGTTTGTGTGTGCACACAAAGGTGTCTGTAGACTCCAGGTCACCAGTGGGGCCATACCAGAGTCGGAGCCTGAGCCAATGAGAGTAGTGGCAGAGTGAGGGAGAAGTGGGGTAGTAGAACCCCCACCCTCAGGTGGGAACAGGTCAGGGTTGTAGTCCTATTTTTATGTTTTCCCCTGGGGTACCCTGGGGGCACTACACGACAGCCCTGGTCTGTGCTTGTTCTGACCTCTCAACATCTCGTCACTCTATCTTACATTAACGAGTATAAAGTTGCAGCATCTGGCAGTCAGGAACCAAGCTGCCTTGAGGTCTCAGGAAGGACACATTGATGATTAACTAACATGCAGTCCCTGTTACTGGAGTGCACGTTAGCCATCACTTCTGCCTTTAAGGTGGATGACAGAAACCCAAGATTTACTGTCATTCTGTGTATGCAATCTCTTTGCCCGGCCCCACACAGGTACTTGGAACCAGGCAGGTTCTTACCCTGGTGCTTCGAGATAGGAAGTGGCCTTACTCCCCAGCGCCTTACTTCCTGTTGCCCTGGGGAGGGGTGGGGCATGATGTTCTGTCACCTCAACCCTTTCCTTCTGCCCTCTTCCCTCCTCCCAAGCAATCTATTAATACTTTTCCTCTCTTGTTCCCTTAATCACCTGCACTGGGCTGTCTGGTTCTCAGACCAGCTCCCAGGGCTGTTGGGTAAAGAAAGGAGAGGAGCCTTCCCCAGGAGCTTTGTTCTACCCACCCCCTCAGGGAGGTGGCCTGGGAGGCTGGGATGCCTCAGCCTCTCAGCTGCCTTCTCTGGGTGAGCCAACCTGCTGACAGTGGAGGCCCAACTCCCAGTGGGCATCGTGCTGTAATCAGGACTGAGCTGCAGCAGTTGGCTGAGCTCTGCCCTGCGCATTAGGGGCTGGTCTCTGACTTAGGGTACAGCTGCCCTGGCAGGTCAGGAACCCACCCGGCCTGTTTATCCTCAGCTGAGACAGTTATGTGCTTCTGTCCTGCCGTCCTCTGAGAGTGGGGACAGAGAAAGGGATGGCAGGGATGGCAGGGATGGCAACCCCCTCTACCAGGGCTTCAAGGAGTCCTTTCATTCCACCAATATTTATTGAGGGTCTGGGGCTGAGTATACAATGGTGAACAAAGGAGGCGGAGGCCCTGCTCTATTACAATTTAGTAGGAAGGCAAATATTAAACAAATAGCTAACACTGTTCTAATTAGGTGCCAGGTACTATGCTAAGTGCTTTATGTGATTTAGCCCATATAATACTCAAAACTCTGTGAGGTAGTTAGTTACTATTATTCTTTATTCCCAGTTTCCACATAAGGTAACTGAAGCACAGACAGACTGAGTGACTCACCTAATGTCACACAGCTGATTAGAAATCCAAGTCAAGCAGTCTGATCCCAGAGTTCACTCTTTAGATAGCCAGGCTTTAGCTCTGCTGCCTCTTATACCAGTAAACATATCATTATACAATGTGATGAGTGCCATAAAATGAAAATAAAGGGTGCCTTCAAGAAAATGGGGCTATTTCCTCCTTCCTTCCACTTGCTCTTCTAACCCATACTGCACAAAGCCTTTTCGAAATGGTTCCCACTTCATCCCTTTAATTCCTGGCCTGAGAGAGAACATTCTTTCATCTCTAAGGATGGAGTGCGGGAAGTCAGAGTTCCACCTGCATCCTCGGCCTTGGCCTGGTCTCCCTGAACAAACCGTGCCTGAAGGATTTTATCTAATAATGGCCTCGATGCTTACACAAGTCTAGACTGTCAGCTTCCCGAGGGAAGGCTGCTGAGAGCTGGCTCTGCACAGACTGGAGGCGCATCCCGAGTGTGCAGTCTGACACGGGCTTTTTGACCTTGGTCCTCTCACCACATCATGTGAGCCAGGCTGTGGCTTAAGACCCGTTTGCGGAGCCTCGCCAGAGAACTTGGTGGTCCAGACCTCTACACACTCCCAACACACACACACTCGCACGCACGTTCCGAGTCCTGGTAGGGTCCGCCCTGGGACGAGCCCACAGGTCGCGAGCCTTTCAGCCCCCTCCGGGTGGCCCCCGGCTGGAACCCCGTCCCCTCCGCTCCCTTGCGCGCGCTGCCCAG